GTTTTGGAAGGTTTTCTTTTTGACAACTTTTATTGAAAGGATTAGTTGAGTTATTGGATGGATCATGTAGTAAAGTTCTTGATTAAAGGGCTTACAGAAGTCTGTATCGTTTATAACGAGTTAATACTGGTCCATCCATCGCAAGCAGGAAGAAAAATGGACGTTTTCTATCATTAAGCGGATTTGATATTACACACATAGTTGCATATAATTTGTTTCAGCAACGTTTTTTGTTACCTATACAATTCTAAAATTTCTTTTGTTTCAACATTACAAGTTACAAAATTCCTCCTCCAATTTTTCGTGACATATTCCAAAAGTTTCTTGGGCGTCTCAAATATTCCGTCCTCGTCTTTAACTATGTGGCTACCGTCTCGTAGAGAGACCAAAGTGAACTTGTGTTTGGAAATGAGCCACTTGGCAACAGTGTGTTTTCCTACGAAACGAGGTCCCGTTATACCAATAAACATGTTAACAATTTTTTCGAAGAGTCAGGTATTACAAGAAAGAGCGCGTTCACTCAGTCGCGTAATACTAATTGACCTCGCGTACTCACGTGACAAAGACATGCAATTATTCATACAAATACGAAGTTCATTTATTCCATAAATATCAAAATATATTCTTCAGGTATGACAGGCAATCGTTCTTAAACCGATATGATAATATTTTCTTACCTTCCAAGAGTTATTCAATGTATGATGCTGACGAAGAGAGGTGGATTGACATTATATTAAACAGTTTGACAAGATCCTTTATAATAAAAAAATTTTTTTGAATGTGAAAAGAACTTCATCAGATTTCTGTTCGGTTTCATCACAATAACATTAATACTTCAGTGGCTAAATAGCACAACAAATAATCCTCAAAATCAATGTTATTTCGAATCATCATTTGAAGTTTCTTGAACTCGAACTGCACTTGTGTTCGAACAAGAATTCTTACAACCATATGTTTTTGAAGAACCTTTCCGATTGCAAACTATTTGAACAATCATGAGGGTACCGTTTTGTTGCGGCAAATAATCCTTCAATGTCCTTATCAATCGACATGCGGCCATTTCAGAAACATAGGCTGCATGAATTCTCCTTCGAAACGACCAAAGCAAAGTACGATGATCACACCGTTCATATGCAGTATGCTCCTTATATTTATATTTACCTGATACGTAATTTCATGTAATTCATAAACATCTGTGAAAC